AATTAAGATTCTGGCCTTTCAAAAACCAAAATTCTAATAATTTTATTTAATTTTTGTGTAAAAAAAATTCCAAGCTTCCAAAATTTGAATTTCCCGCTTAAATTTTCAACCAATCAAATTAATCCCTTACCTGAATGCTCATATTTATGCCTCGCCAATGAACTCTGCTTCGAAAACGCCTTATCACATTGATCACAACTAAATTGCCCTTCAATCTCCCCCTCACCTCCTCCACCACCCAAAATCGGACTTCCTAAACCCTTCAAAACATATTGTGACACTTTACTCCTCTTCTCATCTTCTTCAATCTTCGGACTTAAACTATTCAAACGATTCGTAATCAATTGTGACAAACTGGGTAAATCCCATTGTTCCATTGGTACCAAACCCATACCCATTGATAATTTCGGTTGTGCTAAAATTTGGGCCAATCGACTACTACTATTATTAAAATCAATGGGCGATGGTGATTTATGTGTTAAATTAACAGCTTCATCGACACATTCTGGTCGTGGAGGGGGGGAACTACCTGGTGAGGAATCATCCAATGATGGTGGTCCACGTTTCGTTGACAAATCTAACGGTTGTTCATTGTAAGATGTTATGGTGAGTGAGGAGGAAGGCACCAAAGGGTATCTCAGGGCCGGACTATAGGGCACCTGTATAAGGCGCCCTTCACGTCGATCACGTGCACGTGTATTTTGAAACCATACTTGTACAACACGCACTGGAAAACCAATCAAATCGGCTATTTTCTCTAAATCTTCACGTTTTGGTCGTGGATTTAACGCATAGTTGTCTTTGAGTACTTTCAATTGTTCGTCGGAGATTAACGAACGTACACGAACTTTACGGCCATCTTCCGAGACATGATCTGTAGTTGTGACAGATTCACTATCAATTTCTTCTTCTTCTTCTTTTACTGTTACACAATCTTCAAGTTTTGCAGCAAGACCTTCACTACATTCACCATCATTGGTTGGAGTGATTTTAGGGGAATGTCCCAAAGAGTTGTCACTTGATGATGATTCCGATGAGAATTTCGTTATGTTTGCCTGTAACAACTGTTTGGTTACAGTTGCGTTGACAGTTTCAAGGATGCGTTTTACCGCCTCCAAGTCTCCATTGGGGGCGGTGGTACCCCCATCTTCTTTCGTTTCCTCCTCATCCATCACTAAATCACTTGAAGTACACGATTTGGCCTCTTCTTCGATTTTGATTGGTTGAGTGGTGTTGTTGAAATCGTCTAGTGGTGGTGGGGGTGGTGGTCGTTGCAATTGTTCGAAGATGTGCCCCAAATATGGGGTTATGGGTGGTGCCAAATAGAATGGTGGTTGAAGGAATTCGGAATATTTGGGAAGAATTGGAAGATAAGTATTGTGATTTGGACTTGTTGTGATGTTATTATTTGTTGTTGAACGTTTGATTGGACGATGATGATTTTGGGGTGTGTTTGGACGTGCACGGCCCAATTTTAAGTTCATCACGAGGCATTTTTTCGATGTCATGTGACTAGAATAGGATCCTGAGTGGGAGAAACGTTTACCACAGTTGGGACATTCGAAGGGTTTTTCGCCACTATGGATTCGAATGTGTTCCTGTTGAGAGGATTATTTTTTTTTTTGAGAGAGAGAAATTCGAAAAAATTTAATAGGACTTACCTTCAAATGGTGTTTGAACTTGAAGGCCTTATCGCATTCGGTGCATTTGAACTTGCGTAGTACGGCACTCTCATCGTGACTGATCATGTGACGTTGGAGGCGATAGACATTGGCGAAGGTTTTGTTGCAGATCTTACAGGACTGGAAAATAATGTTTTTGACTATTATTTTTTTCTCTTTTTGATATTTCTAGTGTGTTTGTGCCAATTTTTTCAAATAAATTGTTTGTGTTTCTGACATTTGACTGTGTTTTTGACAACAATTATTGTTATTTTTGACATTTTTAGACTGCGTTTTTGACAATTAATTATTTTATGCTTGTTATTGTTGATTTTTTTTACCAAATTTTTTATTAAAAGTCGAACATGACTGAAGAAATTTACAGTTTATTTGTGTTTTTGACAATGATTATTGCTGTTTTTGACATTTTTAGATTGCATGTTTAGTCATACATGAGTAAATAAATTCACGGTTTTTACGTTTTTGACGTTTGTTTCTGTTTTTGATATTTGACTGTTTTTGACAATTTCAATTTTTTAACTACTTTATGCTTTTTTGACAAATTACGATTGCTATTCTTAACATTTATTACCAAATTGTTTATGAAAAGTAGCACATAATTAAATAAATTTGAAGTTTTTATGTCTTTGACGACAATTTTTGCTGTTTTTTAATATTTTTAGACTTTGTGCTTATTAAAGTCTTTGCTAAAGTCATAAAAATTTCGGTTTTTATGTTTTTAACGATTGTTTCGGATTTGACATTTGACTGTATTTTTGACAAAGTGTTATTGTTTTTGACAATTAATTGTTTTATGCTTTTTATTGTTGACATTTTTTACCAAATTGTTTATTAAAAGTCACACATGCCTGAAGAAATTTACAGTTTATTTGTGTTTTTGACAATGTTTTTGACAATGCTTATTGCTGTTTTTGACATTTTCAGACTGAATGTTTAGTAAAGTTTTTACTAAGAGTAAATAAATTTACGTTTTAAGGTTTCTAACCTTTGTTTCTGTTTTTGACATTTGTCTGTGTTTTTTACGATTACTTTTGTTTTTGACAATTTGATATATAGCAATTTTTTATTGTATTATGCTTTTTTGACAAATTATTCTTGTTATTCTTGACATTTTTACCAAATTGTTTTTCTATTACGTTTTTGACGGACGGTTGTTTCTGTTTTTGACATTTGACTGTGTTGTTTTTATGTTGTATTGTTATCTTTATTATTGTTGTTTTGGACACTTTGAGTTGTTTGTAGCAATTTTTTTTTAAATTGTTTTATGCTTTTGACAAATTATTATTGTTATTTTTGCCATTTTTTACTAAATTGTTTATTGAAAGTTGCACCTGACTGAAAAAATTTAGAGTTTATTTGTGTTTTTGACAACGATTATTGCTGTTTTGACACTGCATGTTTACTTAAGTGTTTATTATTAGTTTTTACGTTCCTGACGTTTGTGACAACACTTTTTTTTTGATAATTTGAGAAGGTTTTTGTAGCAATTTTTAATAGTTTTATGCTTTTGACAAATTATTATTGCTGTTTTTGATATTTTAACATGGTGTAATTAAAATTCAAAATGAGTTTTACCTACGACTTTTGTTTTTTTTTTGTAACGACTGTTGCTGTTTTTCACAATTTGAAACGGTTTATGCTTCTGATAAATATTATTGTCGTTTTTTATATAAATTATTGCTGTTTTTGACAATTTTTCAATTAAGAGACGCACTTGACCACATAGATCTAAGTTTTGTTTTTGACAATATTTTTTGCTATTTTTGACATTTTCAGATGGCGTTTTTACCAAATTTTTTTCAAAAAAGTTCTACAAGATTTTGCTTTTTTCAAAAAAGCTCAATTTTTACTGAAATTTGTCTTAATTAAAGAAATTTTCTTGCTTTGTTTCTTTTGTTTTTGACACAATTTTAATTTTGTGTTGGTAGTTTAGCTTCATTTATCGATTACGTAAAAGCTCTTAAGTTTTCTAATAATTACGAATTGGTATTTTAATTTAATTACCACCACGTATGCGGCCAATTAATTTCAAATGTGTGCTTTAATCCGTAACAAACTACTCGTTTTTTTTTACGATCCTATTTTATTTTTAGTAAGCACACAAAGAAACTTGGAGTTCTTAAAATAATTCCAGTTAGAAAATAAGTGCGAGTTTCACCGAAATTAAATTAAATCTAATCAAGTGTTGTAGTAGAGAAATTCTCCAAGTCTCAAGTCACTTTTAACAAGCTTCATTATTATGATTACCGATTCGATCGTCGTTATTCACATGATCTTCACGTGTCAAATGTCACTGAATGTTGTGTGTTTATTAATTAAAAGCCACTGGTCGTCTCTGAGATCTCTCCTCTCCTCGAGCTGTTTGACTCACATTAATGGAAAGGCCATAAGGGCTTTGAGGTCAATTACTGTGTTTACGTAACATCGGTAATAAGATGAGTAATTGTTTTGTCCTCTCTCACATACAGCTGCACAAAAATTACCCTTCGTTAACACGCTCACCGAATTGTTTTAATAATTACACGAGGCGAATGAGGTGATTGATCGCGATGAAAATAAAAATTCACAAAAAAAAACACAATACTATCATTCAGCAAGGCGAAAAACACACAAATTTCGATTTTCAAAGCAATCGGAGCTAAATCATTTTTGGACTTTTTTTGATTTCGAAAAATGCCCTCTAGTCTCTAGCCATACAAAATGAGCACTAGATATGTATAGTTGTCAAACCTTATGATTATTGACAATAAAATGATTTTTAGAATCGTTTCAAGGATGATTTTAGCCCAATTTTGGCAAAATTTTGGGGCTAGTTTAGCACCCTTACTAAAAAAAATGTTGTAACTTTACTAAAAGTTGAGTGATTTTGATGAAACTTTCAACGAGGCTTTAACTTGAACTAAGTGATTCAGATTTTGTGAAAAAAAAAACACAATTTTGATTTTTGACATTTTGAATTATAAAATTGCTGAGTACGACCCTGATTTAGCTCCTATTGTGACTACCTTTGCACTAAGTGTATTTAAAAGACTTGTAATTTGGAATATGTGCTTTATAAAAAATTCGAAATTTTTGAAGGGGGTTTTAGCCTTCAATTTGTCCATTTTGGGACTACTTATAAAAAATTCTAACTTTGCTAAAAATTGAGCGATTTTGATGAAACTTTCAACGAGGCTTTAATTTGATTTAAGTAATCCATATTTTGTGAAAAAAAACCCCAAATTTTTCTCACTTGTGGGAGAAATTTGAAAAGAGTTATTATTGGACCATTTTGAATCAAAAAATTGCTGAGTACGACCCTGATATGGCTCCTATTGTAACAAAATGTGCACTAAGTGTATTTAAAGGACTAGAAATTTGAAATATGTGCTTTTAAAAAGAATTTCCAAATTTTTGAAGGGGGTTTTTAGCCCTCAATTTGTCAATTTTGGGACTAGGCTTAGGAAAAATTTCTGACTTTGTTAAAAATTGAGCGATTTTCATGAAATTTCCAACGAGGCTTTAATTTGATATAAGTAATCCATATTTTGTGAAAAAAAAACCCAAATTTTTCTCACTTGTGGGAGAAATTTGAAAAGAGTTATTATTGGACCATTTTGAATCAAAAAATTGCTGAGTACGACCCTGATATGGCTCCTATTGTAACAAAATGTGCACTAAGTGTATTTAAAGGACTAGAAATTTGAAATATGTGCTTTTAAAAAGAATTTCCAAATTTTTGAAGGGGGTTTTTAGCCCTCAATTTGTCAATTTTGGGACTAGGCTTAGGAAAAATTTCTGACTTTGTTAAAAATTGAGCGATTTTCATGAAATTTCCAACGAGGCTTTAATTTGAT